CTGCCCAGATCACTTTCTGATATCTGAAGCATGGTTACTCTGAAGATGTGCTCAGCTCTGATCTGTTGAACTTTATTCCCAGCCCTTTTCCTTTACACAGAAACTATAGTGTCCACACCTGAGCCTTCTATGTGGCTGCTGTCACCTTCCTGCTTTTTTGAAGCTCCTCAGTACTGCATCTTGGATCATGCTGCAGCCCATTGAGCTGCTTGTCTTGCTTTTAATGAGCTTATAGCATGCGAGGCCCTTCCACCTACAGATCTGTGACTCACGAGGGCTGTGCTGCTGTGGGGTGTGTGTGCTGCCTTGCAAAGCCCTTTGCTGGATTGAAGACACAGCATTATGAAGGCATGCCTACAGGTTGGGAGCACGTAGGTTCTTTCCATTTCTTAGAAATGGTGTAGTGCTTCTGAAGCAGATAGCAGTAAATATTTCATCCCTTGCTCAGAGCTGGCTGCAGCACCTGGGGATGTGGCTGTGCTGGGTCTGTTGTTCAGCCAGCCTGGGCTGTGTTTCCAATTCATTTTGCTTCAGGTGAGTGGAGTTGATGGAATCTCACTCCTTTTTGATCATCAGCATTGCTGTCACCTGGACGGGTTCCTGACTGCTCTGCCCTCACTATGTGTGTTATCACTTGGAAAGGCCTTTCCATCATTTGTGAAGAAGTCATGTGGGATCTGCCCCACCACAGGCACTGCCAGATGAGCCTGTGAGATGAAGCTCGACCACTGGGAACCAGAACTCATCCCCTTCCACCTCAGCCTTGCTGCAAACCTGGCTGACTTTGAGCTGTAGCTGTCTCTGATCATCTCTCAAAATTCTCCTTCTAACTCTACCACCTTTCTAATTATCCTACTTGTGTATTCATGCAGATGCTATTTTCTTCCTTGCTGTTCACAGAATAAGAACTTACAAATGAATGATCAACTTGTGGTGTTGGGCACTGTCCATGCAGCTCTGACCAGACTCCCCCTGCTTCCAGTGCTCCTGTTTCCTCCTTGCTCTGCCTGTGCATGGCTCCAGGCCCGTTGATGGCATTGGTGCTGTTTGGTCTGGTGCTGGCAAGCACCCACAGGGGTGTGCCGTTCCTCAAAAGTCTCAGTTCCAAGTAATGTGCCAAAAGCATCTGAAATAGCTGGATCAAAGGTGTTGGCAGTTGAACGTGTGGGAAAAGAGACAAGGTGCAGTGCTACAGCTATGCCCACATCTAAGCCCGGTGGTTATCTGACAGGTAATGTTGTGATCAGTGAGAGCTCAAACTTAAAAACACATCAACGCATCAGAAGCTGAGTGTGCCTTCTGAACTGCAGCAGCTGTTCTGTGCAGCGATGACTGCCGGTGCCAACGCGACAGGCCTGGTGGCTTCTTCTGAGTTAGATGGGCAAATACACATGCAACAAACGTGACTTTGGCAAGGCACTCTCACAGAGCGTATCTCCTGGCCCTGGAATAACATATCTTTGCCCCACTTATTGAGTGGGACCAGAGCTCAGCAGCAGGGTGCAGCCACCGAGCCATGTGTTTCTGATATAAAGGGGCTTGGGATGTGGTTCACTGCAGCTCTATGCTCCATCAGACAGGCCTCACACTGGTAGGATGTGTTATGCAGGGATGGGTTCCTGATGGGTGTTTTGGCTGGTTTCTGCACAGACAAGCTCTGCTGCACCTCATAGCTGTTCACTGAGAGGAACACCTCTGGCAGGAGCATGAAGAGGTTTTCCAGCCAGGTTTGGCTTCTGCCTTCGTAGAGTTTGATTGATTTTAATGTTAAATATCAAGGTTAAGGTCCAGATATAACTGTTTACTGTTCTCTATAATCAGCTTTGCTCTGCATCTGCACAACTGACCCCTAATCAGTCCGTAACAGAACAAAGTACCCCTGTTTGAGAACCCTTGGAAATTTCCACCCAGCATTACTGTAGCAATCCCCAGTGCTGCTGTTACGCCACAGGATCGCATGTGGGCAGAGGTCAGCCTGCCTGTGTCACTGCTATGAGCTGCAAATAATTCTGCAAGTTCTCATTCAATAGCAGTTGTGTAATCATTAGATTATCAGTCCCCAGGATAAATACTGTCAAGATAAGGCAGTGCCAGATGGGTTCCTTTATTGCTTTGTAAGAGCTGGATATGGATGCTGGCTGTGCTCGGTCTTACTGCAGCAGTGCTATCATGCAGCACCTCCACCTCTTGTTACACTTCATAGAGGCATCCAGCCAGAAATCTGTCCCATCAAACATATCAGTGCAGTATGAAGAGGCTCTGCCCACAGCTGGTGCTGCGTTTGGGTGCTGCTAGATGATGGCAGTATGTTCTTGCTTAGTGCCTGCTTCAGTGCCACTTTGTGTTTGGGTGGGTTGAGGTTTGGTTCTGTGGTTCATATGGAAAAGCAAGATGTGGACCTGCATGATTAAGCAGGGAAAAGAGGAAAAAAAATGCTTTGGGGGCAATTCTAGACTTAAAGATGCATTCAGACCTCTTTGCATAGATAGAGAACTCTTCTAACATCCATCTACAACTCTTAAAAAGGGTTTTTCTGAGGCACTGCTTGTTTTGTACTACCATTTCCTGTACTGATTGACACAGTTGCTGTTGTCACTTATTTAAGAAATCCACATGATCGGTGCAAGCACAAACAAGGACAAAAATAAATGTCTGATAATATGAACAGATTTATCTGTCCTTATCCCCACGCCTTTTCCCGTGAGTGTAGATTGCATTCAGCTCCCTGGAATAGACCCTTCTTTCCGAGCATTTAACCTTACCCACAGAAGTGCAGGGTGTGAGGAGCGGGGCTGTGTCTTTGCGTGACAGTGGAAGGTGAGCACACAAGGGCTGCTGAGGTGGAGTTCAGATAGGACTGAATCTGTCTGTAGGAATTCCCTTTGGCATTTCCCCTTGCAGTTATGTGAAACGTATTGTGCTGGAGAGCTGGAAGTCCAGGAGAGAGGATTCAGAGCAAACAAAAGAAATCCAGCACCTCTGGCCAGTTTGTAGTGACGAATGTAGGTCCTTTATATCGCTGCAGTGAGGTGTGGATGGCACAGGAGTGCCTGGCAGAGCGGGGTGATGCTCCATTCCCTGGCTGCTCTCCTTACCCAGGCTGCGTTGTTGTCTGAGCGTGGAGCGTTTCCTGTGGTGGGCTCAGCCAAACATCCCTACTGCCTAACAATAATGGTAAATATTTAAAAGCCAAGGACGCTGAGTTAATCTTCACTTTGGAGCTGTGACCTTCCAGTGCTCCCAATCCATTTCTAGGAAAAATCTGAAGAAGACTCTGTGACCTCTGCCCTGATGGCATAGCGCTGCTGCCTGAGCTGCAAAGACAGCGGCCAAGAAGTGTCCATCGTCCTCCCGGTCCTGCACTGCTCTGTCTTTATTCAGCACTTTGAGAAGCACCAAATGAGATTTGAATGTGGTGCAGTTACCTCTCATAAGCGTCTCCAAGAATCAAGCCTCTGTGCTCCTTTTATCCAAGTTCACATCGCTCCCAGTGAAGCCCTGAGCCGTGCAGAGCGGTTGGCTCCATGCTGGGACCCTGCTGGATCTTGGCAGGCTGGGGCACCGTGTGAGGTCTGTGCCGTGAGTTTGTGCAGGGGGATCTGAGGGATGCCCAAGGGTCTGCCAACTCCTTGGCTCACTTTTGCTATTCTAGTGATTTTCATAAGCGCTGGCCAAGAGGTTTTTTCTGCAGGGAACCAAACCTCAGCAAGAGAAGGGAATTTGTGGAGGTGCTTGAAGCTGGATTCCATTCACCTGCTGCCTGGCCCTGTTCTGCATGGCCACAGCAGCTCCTCTGAGGCAGACCAGTGGAAATTTCCTTCCTATCCCCAGTGCCTTGTGAAAACACCATAAAACATCGTTGGCGTTCTTTACACTTGCTTACAAGAGAAAAAATACTTGTAAGCCCCAATCCTTAATGACCCATCACAAACATGAAACGATTGCTCAAGGGGCTGAAATGCCCCCAGCACACATCCCCTGGTGGCTCAGCACCCATCCCCAACGGGATGATAAACACATCCTTAGTGCTTGGTGCAGCCCTGGGGCCTCATGCCACCAGAGCTGTCTCTCTGCCTGTGTGGATGGCAGCAGTACGGCATTCCCTGCCAGGCTGCAGCTGGTGGCATCCTCATACCCTCTCCTGGGTTTGGACTATGCTGTGTGCCCAGCGATCCTCTGTGTGGTAGGCAGGCTTTGGAGCACTTGTGAACACTGGCTCAACATCAGCTCTTAGAGCTGCAGGTGGATACAGGCACACTGCTGCCAGTGAGGTCTCTGTGCTGACGCTCCCTGATGTTGTCCTTAAGATCTTAATGCCCACTAGTGTTAATGCAGCAACACAAAGTAAATGCCATTTGTTCACTGAGTATGTAGGTAATGACAGTAGAAGGTTTTTGGACCATTTGCCTCCACCCAGGTGCTCCCAACCACCCCTTACCAAGTGCACTGCACCCACCTGCTGCCCTGAGTGCTTCAGCCCCAGCACTCCCCATCCATACACGTTCCAGGGCACTAATTTGCACTGTGCCATGAAAGCACAGCACAGCACTGATACCCAAATGCTGCCTTAATCCTAGGCTTGGGCTCTCCTTTCTTAAAGTGAGTTCAGCCCTGGCTGGGAGAGCAGGATTTGGATTCACTGTTGGAACAGTGCATGCTCCAGTGCACGCAGTGTCAGTGGATCCTCGCATGTGCTCCCTCCCAGCAATAGCAGCTGGCATCCCAGGTACATGCAGCATGCACTGTGGGAAGGGTCACGTCCTCTGCTGTAGTAGCAAAACCTAAACCAACAATGATAACCAAAAAAAAAAAAAAAAACCAAACAAACAATAAAAAAAAAAACCAAGCCACCAGGTGAAGGGAAAAAAAAAAAAGCAAAACCTTGAACCAAGGAATGACGGTGATAAAGAGGTTTTATATTCCTGGGGGCTGGCCTACCTTCTTTATTGCCCCTTTTTCTCTGTTTTTTTATTTAGCAATGCAAATGCAATCCATCTTCTGAGCCTCCCAGTCACAGCCTCTCCATATACAGGGCAGGGGGAGCTTGGTAGCAGTTCGGACTGTGCGGTGCTCCCCAGCACCCACTACCTTCTGTAGCCGTGCTGGCGTCTGGCAACACCAGCGTTGAGCTCTCACAGGGTGAGTGTCCCTGGGACAGCATCAGTGCCATTCTGTGCTGGGCTGCCGGGCTGCTTGCTGGGATGTAAGCTGTGCTCCCTGCACATAGGGCTGGGATTTGGGCTTTCTGTTCCTTGTTTAACAGGACGTTGCTTTCTTCCAGCCCCGCTCGTGCTGTGTGGGCAGCCCTCCACCAAAGAAGAGATGGAGATGGTGGACTCCGAGCGCCCGCCGGCCAAGAAGAACTGGTACGAGCGCTACGTGCTGCCCTTCTTCTCTGAGCTGCTGGGCACTGCAGCCTTCGTCTTCATCGGCTGCATGTCAGTTGTGGAGGACGCAGGATCCACCGGGACGCTGCAGCCTGCGCTGGTCCACGGGTTGTCCATTGTGCCCATCGTTGTCAGCCTGGAAAACATCAGGTAAGGGGCTGCTGACCCCCAGGATTGGCTCATGGCTCTCCTATCACACAGCCTGGGGTCCCTTCTTCCTTGGGAGCATCCCCAGGTGCACCATGCTACTTGGTTAATGGTTGTGAGCGAGGTTCTGGGTCTGGGGGAGGTTCAGCATTCTGGCTTTGATTGCAGCATTCTGATTTTAGTTCTTGTTAATGTAAGGAGAGAAAAAAAAGGTCAAAGCTGAAGCAAAAGCATCACTTGGGAAATCTGTGGCATTTCCTTCTGAAGCAATGTCAGGATGACACATTTTGACCTGCGTGTTCTATTCCCCTGTGCACTGGAAAATGCTTGGATTCCATTTATAAATGGTTTCAATTCTTCTGAAGCAACATTTAGACAAAGCTGTTCACTGAAATAGGTTGCTATTTGACTCCCAAACACAGCTTCTTTCTGGATGGAAAAGCTGAACGGGTCCCTGTGGGGCTTCACTTCCTTCTATCCCCATCTCCCTACTCTGAATCTGTGCAGCTCAGGATGGGTCCTGGGGCTGCCCCTGTCTAGGGGTTCACAGCACCCTCCTGCCTGGGCCTGACTGAGACAACCTGACTTTGGATTTTAATTACAGCTGAAGAATAAGACATAACTGTGGGCTCCTAGACACTCTGACTCAACGGCTTCACCAGCGATTATTATTAGGGCTGATCGGTTATGAAACTTGCTAATTAATGCGTGTCCCATGATAATCTGTCTTAATTAAGAGGTATATGATCTTGCCTGGCATGCGGTCTCTGAGGTTAACAAGCTGAGTCCCATTGATAGGCGAGTGCCTGCTGCTGCATTGGAGTTGGGGCATAGCACTGCCCAGCGCAGTGCTGGAGACTGTGGAAAGAGTGGTGTCATGTCCTTTACATAGGGCACAACCCTTGCCCTGCCCTCTGCCTTCATGCAAGATGTGTTCTGCATGGCGTAGAGTGTCCTGGAAGCTTCAGAGCAAGGGAAACCTGCAGCCATACCATGCTGTGCCATGCTGTGCTGAGCTGCACTGCGCTGTGCTGCGCTACGCCATGCTGAGCCATGCCATGTTGTGCTGTGCAATGCTGTGCCATGCTGTGCAGCTGAGCAGAAGAGCAGCACAGAGGCCAGGGCTTGGCTCATCCCCAGCCTGCAGCACTGCAAAATATCGTGCACAGAAGAGGTTAATGCACACTTCCCCCTTGCTGCTCCTGGAAGGACCTGGTGGTTTCCTGAGCTCCAAAACCACTTTTCAAAATGTGCCGTGGCAGCTGATTCTCTGCATGTGCTTTAGAAGGGTCTGCATATCCCATCTGGAATTGCTGCTTCTCCAAATAGCAACTGCAGAGAACAGAAACAGCCAGATTTTGCTCCCCTGCAGTGCACCGCACATTCTTATAAGTGCTAAAAACATATTCATGGTTCCAGCCCATGGTGAGTGCAGCACTCACACTGCACTGAGGAGGGCAGTGGGGACAAGGCAGCAGGCAGAGCCTGCTTTTTCATTTTTTCATTGTCATTTAGGATGAACCCTATGCTGACTCTTCTTTTCCTTTACAGTGGAAGTCATACCAACCCTGTCGTGTCTCTGGCCATATGGCTGATGGGCAAGATGGAACACATCATGGTCATCCCGTACATTATTGCCCAGCTCTGCGGAGGGATCTTAGGGGCTGCCCTGACAAAGGTACACATGCCAATGGGGGGCTCACTGGGGCTCAAGGACTGTGCTCCCACTCTGCCAGAGCTGACATTGCCCTGTGCTGATGCACAGCCACAGGTGTGTGCTGAAGTGGGGAAGGGGCACTACAGCACCAGTTCTCAGTGTAATTAAGAGCTCTGATGTTCATATGATCCTGCACTGCAGTGTGCTGTGTGAGCACAGGGCGTGCTGTGCCTGCTTTCTGCTCCCATAGTCCTGCTTCCAAGCTGGGCTGGGTGCTGGTGTAGGGGTGCTGCCCAAGGCAGAGCATAGCACATCTGCAGCTTCAGCTGCTTAGGTGCACAGCATTCCCCTGCCACACTATTCTGTACCATTAATTGAATCTGGTGTGGCCCATCCCTGGGCTCTGAGCCCCGCACAGCCCATCGCTTTGTGCGTGTCCAACGGAGCACAGCCAGCTCATTATCTCTGGAGACACTATGAGCCTTTGCTAATGAGTTTATGTTTGCCAGGCGCTTAGGGCTCACTTGCAGGAGGAAAGTGCTGAGATTAGCTCCTCTTTAGCCTTGCACTCTGCCCGCCCACGCTGCCCTGACAGTGAGCACATATGTTTGTAATGCCAACAATATGGAGAGGGGTAGCACCAACCAAGTGTCCCCTCCAGGCCGTGGCAAACAGTGCGAGCTTCGACAGCAGCCACGGAGGGGCCTTTGGTGTCATCCAGAGAAATGAGCAGATCGGCGCAGCGCTGGGCAATGAGATCATCACGACCACCTTCCTGTTGCTTGTGGTCTGCATGACTGCAGTCAACGCGGAAACCAAGAGCAATCTAGCACCTGTTAGCATCGCCCTGACAGTCGTCATCAACGTCATGGTGGGGTGAGCTCAAGTTCCCACTGTGCAGCGGGTGAAGCCCTAGTAGTTCCACTCCAGTGTCTGCAGCAGCCAGGATGGGACCCATGGCTGCAGGGATGGGACTCCCACTCACAGTTCTCTGCAGCTTGTGGTGGGCAGAGCCTGGGGCTGCCAGCTCCCAGCACCAGGGCATCCCACTGCCATCCCAACTGGCACTAGAGTTGCTGCATTCTGCATCAGTAAGGGGAGAGGAACAGGATGGGATGGGATGGGATGGGATGGGATGGGATGGGATGGGATGGGATGGGATGGGATGGGACAGTTTTGAGTAGATCAGGATGGGATGATTTGAGTTGGTAGGTTTTGGGATGGGATGGGATGGGATGGGATGGGATGGGATGGGATGGGATAGTTTGTGGTAGAATGGGATGAGATGGGATAGGATGGGATATTCCCCCTTGCAGCCCTACTCAGAGCCTTATGGGCAGGACAACTGATGGGTTCTGAGCATGTCCATGGATGCTGGCAGATCAGACACTTGGTCTACTGGCACTGGTAGATGCGAATTGCTGGGCACACCCCAGAAATGTGTCAGGGAGGCCGGAGACTTGAGTTCAGCCCATGGACATCTCATGCCGCACCAGCCTCTGCAATTACATGATACGGGCTGACAAAAGTAAGCAGCCACCCCGGCAGTATTGACAGTAGGAAGCCCTGAGCAAACAAGGGCAGCTCCTCAATGTGTATTTTCACAGCTGCTGGAATCGCTTCCAGGCTCGGCTGTGGGCTGGCTCTAAGGGTGAGCAGCCTGAGTCCTTTGGCACTGCACCTAGATAACCAGCACACATAATTCTGAATGTTAATGAATTGTTTGGTTAAGGCAGTGCCCCCTCTAGCGGGATTCAGAACTCTTATTTCAACATCGCTCAAACCTCATGTGCAAATATTTATCTGTTGCAGTTTTTTTAAGCTGCAAATGCTGTTGTCTCTCCTGCACTGTTCTGCTACCTGCGCACAGCACAAAGCATTCTCTGGTTAAAAGCTGAGCACTGGGTGAGCCCCAAAATGGGCTCAGCAGCTTTCACACCATGCCGGCATCCCTGCAAATGGACGCAGGACATGGGAACTGCTCCACACTCTGAGGAGCAGCTCATGTCATTTGTTCCTTTTTCAGGGGTTCCGTATCCGGACCCTGCATGAACCCTGCTCGAGCCTTTGGGCCAGCTGTGATAGCCAACTACTGGCTCTACCACTGGGTGTACTGGGTCGGGCCTGTGATCGGCTGCCTGATCTGCAGCATACTGATGAGGTACGTGGTGCTGCAGCAAGGCTGCCCTCTCTTGCTCGCCATCCCGTCCTGCAGCAGAGCCCCTGCCCCTCTGCTGCTTCCAAGCCTGGCATGTCCGCTGGCTTCATCTGCATCTCCCCATGGGGCTGGTGCTGAGCTACTGCACTCTGTGTTCCCTATGCAATCCACAACAGTGCAGATGCTGACCCTGAATTTCTTTTCCCTCCTGCAAGGTTTGTGATTGGTGGCCGGGAGATCCGTCTGTTCCTGAAGTAAGGCTGCACAACAACACAACACAACCCTGGCACCTCCTGCTGAGCACACTGCTGAGACACTCTGGGATGGCACTGCCGTGCCCCGGCCGTGCACCACGTCTGTCCTGCGGGGCTGTGCCTGGCATCTGTGAGACTGCACGGCTCCATGCTACGGGTGCAGCATGTGGCTGTGGCTGGCAGCTCTGTACCACTGCTGCTAGGCTGCTCTTGGGCCCCTCTGCTCCCCTGGGGGCTGTGAGAGCTACTGGTTGCTGAGCAGAGCAGGCGCTGTTACCTCCATACGATTGGCACAAAGCTGAGTAAAGCAACACGTGCCCCCCAGTGCTGGCACCAATTGATTCCTATATTGTTTATGACTATTATTTAAGGAGTGTGCACATGCTGGGGGCACCAACATCTTCTGCCCACTCATGCAGTATGTTGTCCTGCATTTCTGCTGTCCCCCCATAGACTGTGCAGCATTCAGTTTTCCCCTGCATGCACCTGGGACTCTTTGCTGTGCAGGGAACCTGACTGAGCTGCATGTGGCTGTGCTGCACTGCGCGTGGCTGTGCTGTGTGTAGCTGTGCTGTGTGTGGCTGTGGTGCACATGGACGGACACTGGCTAAAGATTCTGCAGTGTCCACATTATTTTGCAGTCTGTGCCAACAGAACTGCCCCTGCAGCTGCATGCTAGGAGCCCGGATGCAGTTTTTGGAGGCTTCTCGGCATGCTGAACAAAAAGGGAAATGGGAATGGGAGGGAAGCCCACACTGGCTGCTGGCAGAATTACATGATTTCTGAGATAACAGCTGGCATGGGAGCAGCAGATCTATCCCCATCCCTAAATCACCCTGGCCTCTCGGGATGGAGGTGCTGGCAGTGACCCCTCCCACATCTTGGCAGGCTCTGCACAGCAATGACACCAGCACACAGCCGTTCTGCAGTCCCTCCCAGGAGAGCTTTTGGTTGTTCTGAATTTTGCAAACTTTTAAACACGGCTGGAGGTTTCTGAGCACATCTGAGGAAGGCAGCGTTGTCTGGGGGGGGAGGGGGTAGCAGAAGTGGCTGAGGTTCCAATCAGTGTCTGATGCTGTTCTCCTACAAGCACTGCTATGAGGTGCCCAGGCGAAGGGGTTGTCCTGGGGATGCAGTGCCACACTTGGAATGGGGACAGACAGGAGCATTTCTGTGGGGATCATGGGGGAAACCGCATGGGATGGGCTGGGACACAGCACCAGAGGAGGAAAACCGATGGGGTTGGGCAGAAATGGCCCCGCAGCACCTGGCACAGGGAAGGAGCTCCTTCCAGCTCCCCGCCGTCCCCATGGGTCTGGCAGAATCCTTTCCAGTGCATCTCACTATTTTCAGCTCACTCGCTATTTTCAGTCAAGGAAATGACCCACACATGCGCACACGCTTGTACACAGAGCCGTGCTTTTTATTGCGAAAAGGGTGAGGCTGGAGGGAGGAAAGGTCCCACCGGAGCGGCCCCGGCCCAGGTGAGCTGGGCGAGGGGGCTGCGTGCTCGGGAAGGAAAGTGCTGCAACCCGCTACGAGACAAACAGCGCGCAGATGTCACCGGGACGGTCGTCATGGCAACGCTGCAAAAAATGCCGGAGCAAACAGGGAACGAAGGCAACCGCGAGGACTCCCCGGGCTGCGGGGCTGCGGCTGGGGGGCACCGTGGGCACCGGGAGCCGTCTGCGCTGCTCGGGGCAGAGCTCAGCCGAAGCGCGCCTGCGGCCGCCGGGGTAACCAAGCGACCACCTTCCTCTTTCGGGAGGAAACACGGCCCGTGGCATCCGCAGGAAGCACAGTTATAGCTGCAGCTGCTGCTGCACGGGAGCTGTGCTGCACCCCTGCTCCATAGTGCACCTGTGGACATCCTCATGTCCTTCCCCTTTTTGCTGTTGATGCGTTCGGCGCACTCATTTTTGATTTGTCAGGGTGACTTTTAATAAAGCATCCGTAATACATGTTGTTTTTCCCCGACTATTATTAAAGAGCTTAATTTATGCTAATTAAATACCAATTAACTTCCAAGCACTTAATGTGCTTTAAGGACATAAAATACATCTCATTCCCATTCAGTTAATTCCACATCAGGCCTGGCCATGGGTCTGCACTGCGTTTAACGGTGCGTGGATCTGCAGCACAGCCAGAGCCCTGCATGCTGGCTGCGAAGCTCCTGGTGCCCATCAGGAGGGTGTCCCCAGGCTGTCCCCACACCGCTCCCCAGCACTGCTGCTCTCCCGTTAAGCACAAGTTTTCACTTTTTTGCACTGGCCTTTTCCTCTCTGCAATCCTAACACTAGGAGCTGCTCTGTCCTGGGGCAGGTGTAGGCACTCTGCATTTTCGGACCAAACAGTTTCCCAGCAGTGGTGTGGAGCTGCTGGCAGCCATGCTTTCTGCCTGTGCTGATGACACTTTTTTGGTGGCTGGTGTCTGCACAGGGCACAGCTGCTGGGATTTGGCACCGCACTGCAGGGCTGAGCTGCTCCACACAGATGTGTGAATTAATGAGCCAGCTAATGTGGCTCAGTGCCTCCTTGCCTCTCAGACCTCTCGGCACCACAACAGCCGCAAGGATGGGGATGGTGAAATAGGGGAGCTGGGCAGCAGAGCAGGGGATCCCAGTGCTAATGCAACACATGGCAGAGCAAAGCAATACATGGCAGTGCAAAGCAACACATGGCAGCGAGGCTGAGCAGCAGGGATAGAGGCTGCCAGTGGGATCGGGGCAGCTGTCCTTTGTCCTTGAGTCAGGACCAACCAGGTCAGTTTGGTTGTTATGTCCACCCGGGACAGAGCTTCCTACCTTGCAGCAAACACAGCTGCATCTGCTAAGGAGGGAGGAGGGCTTTAGTGAGCAGCCCCACAGCAGAGGAGTGCTGTGCTTACTGTTTGTCCTGTGGCTGAGTGCTATGGTACAGGAGTGAGTACCCTCCTGCCCTGCTCAGGATGTGCAGATTTCTGTAGAATGTTCTGTGCTGCTGAATGAGGCTGCAGGAGCAGCAGGACTGTGCTCACCTCTGTGTCCTGCACCGCTGCAGTAGGTAGAGTGCTGCCAGGAGCTGTGGCTGCTGGCACTCAGCTGGCACATCCCTGAAAGCACTCAGCTCCTGGGTGCTGGGGAGCACCCATGGATGCTGACTGCCGGGCCAGGCCGTGCTGGGGGTGAGGATGGTGGTGGTTGTGTGGGCACCAGCACGGGGACACAGGATGGTGGAGGTGGGTGACGACATGTGGGCCTGGCACTGTATGTGAGCTGGTATCTGTATGTAGGAGATGGGGAGAGAGGCAATGGGAAAGGGAGTGGGAGTCTGCAGTGTGCATTGGGAGAGCTCTCACCGCACGTCTGAGCAGGGCAGGGCTGGGCTGGGCTGGTGCCCTTTGTTGCTGTACCCATTCGGTGCCTGAGGCCAGGGAATGTGCTCCTGTGCTGTTCTATTTGGTCTGCAGCTGGGGACCGGGGCACAAATGCCAGAGCAGGTTCCCTGCTGATTAGCATGTATGCAAAGAGCCCTAACGAGCTTCAGCATTGTGCACAGAGCACTGCGGGGGCCCACAGCTGGGTGCGGGGTGATGGGAGGGAGCTGAGGTGGTATCTGCTTGGAGCAGCAGTGGCATCCCCAGCTGAGCTCTAGGATCTCTGCCCTGGGACCCCGTGTGAGGGCATGAGAGGTCCTAGATGGAAGGAAGCGGGGCTGGGGGGTGGCTACCGCTCTGCTTCCCACCCCCACTTCTGCTTTTTTTTCTCATTCTATTGATCTTTAATTTCTTTTCACTTTCTGTCATCGCAGCCCACTCGGGCTCCCTGGGGAGCAGCTGGTAGCAGCCTCCTGGGGGAACGGGGGCTGGGGTCTCCTCCGCATGAGTGCAGCACTGTGGGCCCAACTCCCCCTGAGCCCCTCTTCCTGCCTGCATGGTGCCTCCAGCCCCACTCCCTGACCCCGAGGTGTTTCTCTACTCAGCATTGCTCGAGCCGGGAAGATTTTTATTTTGCAGGGTTTTTAAAAAGGGTTCAGATAGAGTTTTATTTTCAAGTAATACTACTTTTCTTTTTTTTTCTTTCAGCTCTTTTTATTGTGATTGTTTATTATTTCCTCTCTGTAAACAGAAACCACATCAGGCAAAGCCTTAGCTACTAATTTGCATTTATGCAGATGTGATGAGGTTCAGGCACATAACTCCTCAGCCTGCACAAGCACGACCCCAGTACTAGAGGTCCCAAAGCCCTGGTACCCCCTGACCATCCCTGGTCCCCAGAGATCCCTGGGGCACAACTACTGCCCCCCAGAACACAGAGCCAGCCCTTGCTTCTGGTCACCATGGAGACCTGGGAGGAGGATTTTGAACCATCTCAGAGAAAACTTGGCAATTCTCTAAGCTTTGTGTAGCCATAGGCTTGGGCTGCAGAGCTGTCTGTGTCACCATGCACTCCATCCCAGGCTGTGGCAGTGGTGGCCATAGGGCGGGTGGCATGGGATGACAGAAATCACTGCATCCCTTTCTTCTAAACCACATTCCTAATTTGTCCCCATAGCAGACAATCCCACTGTCGACCTTCAACCTGAGGAATGGGTTTGCAGAAACAAGGGTTGCTGTTTGCTGCTGCCAGGTTGGATTTCGGAGGGCATGAAACTTCTGGCTGTGTCTCAGCAGCAAGCAGCCAGATGGACAGAAGAATGGATGGGTGGGTGGACAGGTGGATGGACACGGTGGTGCTTGCCTGCAGGTCTCTGTGTGGGGCTCCCCTCAAGCTGAGGACGGGTGGGAGCAGAGGCTCGGTTGGAGGGGAATGCTAATCGGAGTGTGTACTGGCAGCAGGCAGAATGCTGCACAATAAATAGCCATTTTAATTACCACACAATATTTACAAGATTGCTTCCTCATTTAGGAAATTAAAACAAATGCTCCATCAAAATGATCAACATTGTACAGAGAAGCAGAGGGCTGATAGAGAAATACATCGGCTGTTAATGAAAGAGTAATTGGCACCTTGGTTCTGGCGTGGCTTCCTCCTCCTCTGTACAACCACGGCATGAAGGACGGCACAGGACAGCCCTGGGCGGATGGCAATGGAGAGGGGCACAGGCAGCAGTGCCCATACTGGGCTCCCCGCCCCACTAGGGCTATTCAAAAAGAGGATGTGGGAAGGCTGGGTAGGGGATGCTGAGCTGCAAGGCCTTCTTTCACTCTGGTGGGGTTCTGCTGGCTGCTTTTGTCTGTCTGTCCTGCAGTTATCCCAGGAATTAATGGCTGAAAGGACCCAGCTCTGGCTGCTTTGCTGTCTGTCTCCTGATGTTATTCCCAGGTCCTGGGATCACGTGAGGATTTAGGGACTCAGGCTTG